TCCGAGGCTTATTCCATTTTTTGGTCTTCCAAGTTTGAACAATGTAGAGTATAACCTACACGTTTGGGCGACTTAGGCGCGCAATCCCCCTCTGACAAAGTCCGAAAAAAAACATTTATGTCGGGAGGTATAGCAGAAAGAGGGGATCAGTATAATCCATATTCGCATTAGGTCTAAAATCGGATGGCCAAGGGAATGAATTAATTCGAATATTATGATGTTCTGTAATATTTTCCAAATATACACCTATTTATATATTCCCCTAAATTTCAATAACAAATTAAAATTTGTAAGAAACAATCTATCATATTTTAAACCTTTCTAAGTTTGACCATGTAATGCTTATTTTGGAGCAAAACATAAATTAACTTCGAGAATTTCTGGCATACTAACCAGCCGGATCAATGGACGAACGAATATTGCGATCCCGACTCCGAACCACCTGCCGGAAGTTATCGGAAGTTATTAAGCTAAGATAAAAATTGAAATAATTTTTCACTTGTTCAAGTCTTTCTCAATTTCCTCTGCGAAGTTATGGAGAACGAATTTGGGAATTCTCAAAAACAATATAATCTGTTAAAAAATTTTTGTTAAAATTTTAAAAATACCGTATGTAGCTCTTTTTTTAAGGTCTATAAGACGACTTGGACCTGCATAGGTAACTTTTGTCATAAGCCATCACAATATTCAAATCCGAAATGAATAATGTCACTAAAATCATCAAAATACCGAATATCGGTATGTACCGTTATATGGGGGCTATACGAAGACGTAGACCTGCACAGACAATTGTCTGTCTTAGGCTGTAGTGTCCATTACGAAATACCAAATTTTAAACAATTCCGGTGAATAATGTCGCTAAAATCATCAAAATACGGAATATCGGGAGGTACCGTTATATAGGGGCTATACGAAAACGTAGACCTGAATGGTCTAGAGTGATTTCCATAGACGGACGGACATCGCTAAATCGTCATAGAATTTGTAAAAGGGTGTTACAAACGGAATGACAATCTTAATATACCCTCCATATTATGGTGAAGGGTATAAAAACGCGAAAGTAAACCAAAAACCAATTAAATTACAATTGAGTGAGATTTTCCACAACTTTTAGAGATATCTCTTTCCTAAACACCCCACCCTAATATGTTCATATTGCATGCACACGTTCAGAGTCATGTGCAATGTTGCTATGTATGTGCGGCAATGTACAAAATATTAGCCATGCTGCTGCTGTCGATGCTGAATATTACTTCAATTTTCAGTTTCAGTTCAAACAAATGATGTAATTAAGATGGATACAGTTTCGGAACATTACCATATAATTAACAAAGTTTAGAAATTTATTTTGTAAAAATTAGATAATTTGTTGTTAAATGCATTCATCACGGTGTGAAATTGCTTAAAATCGATATGCAAATTTTGAAAGATTTCCTAAATATGCAATTCAATAAAAAAAATTAAAAATGTGCTTAGAATACCGAAAATTAGATAGCATGGTTACATGAGACTGAATGAACGCCCTGAATAATATTTTCAAATATAATTGGGTTACAAGCAAAATTGTAGTCATCCTTCTAAAGTTTTATATAATTGGAAAGACAAACTTAATTTTGATACTTATTTAAAATGCTTCTTATTTTACAGAAAGTCTAAGTTTTCTGAAATTGCCGCTTTGTTATTGTTATTTCAATGAAAAACTCGTTCCTCTCTTTCTTTCTCTCATCAGAACTTTGAAGATGTACTGCATACAGAAAAATCATATTTTAGAAAATTGTATCAAAAAAATGAGATGTACAAAAAAGTTTAACGAAATTTTTTCTTCTTTCAATTTGCAGAACATTTTTTTAAAGAAAATTTGTCCAAAATAGCGAATTCTGCTACAATCTCATGTTTTGTAATTGTCCTTAATATGCTTACATTCATATTTAGGCCATATTTACCCCTTTTAATTGAGTTAAGTTTCGTAAATGTTTCACAAAACACTTTTGACGGCATTAAGCATGAAATTTGGCGCCGCACTTAATTTAAAAGAAAAATGTTTAGGTTGTAAAATTAAAAAAAAAAGAAAGACAAAAGATTAATTTTGGTAATACATGTACAGTGGAGCCACCTACGAGAGGCCATAACAAAATGACTTATCAAAATGGGACAGAGAATAAAAGTTTGAGTGCAATTGTATAAGTACCTCAGCTCTTCCGTTTCGTATTTGGAATGCCAAGAAGTATGCAACGATTATCATTTGAAAAGAATTCGCTGAATATAAAAAATTCCATTGAAAAATGCATCCAAAATTAAAAAAAATCCTAATTTCCGATGTAGAAGTTAAACGTTGCCAGAAAAGGCGGTGTTTATTACGTACCCAAATACCAAATGTGATACAATTTTGGTGAAAATATGACAAAAATCAAAAAGGTACTGAATATCGGGGGTACAGTTATATTTCAAATATACTAAACTTGGGTCTATATCGAAAGTCCTTTGCAAAGTTGTTTCTCACATATACAAACTGCCAGATTACAGCAAATTTTGTTCATAAATATGACTAAAACAGCCAAAACACCCTAAAGATGGTGGTACAGATATATGGGGTATTAGTGGAAATATGGACATATATGGCTCATTTTAAATACCAACAATTCTACCAACCTAAAATTCATCTCAGCATAATTTTTATCAACCTACTTCATTTTGTTCGGAAGCCCAGAGTGATTTCAACAGATGGACGGATGCGCATAGATAAATCGACATACAATCTTATGCTGATCACTTTATGGAGTCTCAAATGCTTATTTGGAAGAGTTACAACCGAAATGACAAATATAATATACCCTTCATAGTAATTGGTAGGAGCGAACGGAGTGTCGGATTTCGTTCAATATTTACACATCATAATATTAGAATCAGGTTTGGTTCAGATGACAAAAGGAACGGTATAATCCTTCCGGGGCCTCCCCACAAAAAGTCTATTGATTAACAATTACTCACATAATATTGATTGAAATAAATGTCAGATATCTGTGCAAAGTCAGCCCCATATTTGTATCGCTATTAGATCAAGTGTGAATATGGATTGTAAAGATCCTCCCATCGACAAAAAGGTCAACTTTTCCAAAAAAGAAATTACACACATGTCTCATACAAATTGGAGGAACTAGTCGTTGTAATCAATACCTAGAAAATCGCTATATGTATGTCGGTATTAGGTCAGCTGCGAAAAGGGATAAAGGCTCAGCATTTTGAGAAATCATAACGCAAGATAGTATATAGTTAAACATAAAGGGACATATGTTGAGGGAAAACTTCGGTCGGCAACTTGTTCAAATTGGAAATACCTCATGGAAAAATATGGGTCAGGTTTTGTAATAGCTCTTGTATACCGCCCAATAATTGAGGCACCATTTTCCAAAATACATGCTATAATTATAATGAAAATATATTAAATAGTCACATAGGTTTGGTCATATCGGTCTTGCAACGAAAATTTCAGATGCTGGGTACCTTTGAGTTCCAACCAATTTTCGGTCTATGATAAAGAATTGCTTATGCAGGTACACATCTTCGTATAGCCCACATAAAACGGTTTATTTCTCGGATTTTATTTTTTTTTTTTTTTTTGAAAAATTTTAAATTTCTTCCAAAAGTTTGAACCGGCTGAACTATGCTGCTGTTTTACATTTTTTTTTGGCTAACCTTTTTGGCTTTGTAGTGTAAGAAGTTCCTATAGTATCCATGAATTTTTCTCAGTATTTAATCTAATGATATTTCTTAATATATATATAATTTATAAAAGTTTGTCAGTGTCATCTATACGCAACATCTATAAAGAGTAACTCTTTTAAAGGTTCCACTTTACAAAAAAAAATTGTTATATTTATTTATATGCGAACACATGTAGCTGGAAAGTAAACCACCGCAAAAAAACTACTACAAATCACTTAAGAAAAGAGTGTGGAAGAGATACCACCAAGCTAACGAAAGACCCATTAGCTCCAATTGGTGTTGGTTACCATAACACCAAACAATGGTCGGTGTGTGTGCGTGCGCGACTTCATTACAGGGTATTATGACTACATGTAACAACAACAAAAAAAAACAGCTACCACAACAAATGAGCGGATCATTCAGCAAAGTGTGTAATAATAGGGAAGTTTTAAATCATTAAACGTCAATTAAAATCAACATTTTCTGTTCATCACTGAATTTTCATCAGTTTGGTGGCTATTGTTGTAGTGGCTACTGCCGATGATGCTACTTGGTTTGGGGGGGGTATGTCATTTTTTTTTTTTTTTTGCTTTTGGTTTCACATTACGTTTACTTCCATAACAGTTGGAGCATCGTGTCATTTATGAACAATGTTGTTGCTTCTGTTGTTTTTGTTGTTGCTGTTATTGGAAGTTGGAACTTCAGTTACATTGACATGACCTCGCCACGACGCACTCTTGTAACATTTATCTGATCCAAATGAAGACGACTTCAAATGATGATGTTGTTGATGATGATTGTTAATAGAAGTTTGCCATTGCTTTGTATTGTTGTTGTTGTTGTGGTTTTTTTCCGACTTTGCTTTTCAATAAAGATGGAAACTAAATCACGACAAACTACTCTAATGATTTGTTCATATTGTCCACGAAATTCATTTGTTTAAAGTTGTATCATTGTATTAAGTTACTTCAGCGGAGTTTCAATGTTGCAGCTTCAAATACCAGAACCTTGAACATGTTGCATCAAACACATGTTAATTAAGAAACTGAATTCAATTTCAAATTGTTGATAAACAAATGAAATAATTATGAATCTGATGGGCATGAGAAAAAATAAAAATATTAAATTTGAAGAAGAAGTGTAATTTCTTTCAAAACTGGGATTGATATTTTTTTAAACAAATTCGATTGGAGATTTAAAGATTTCGATTTTTAGTTTAGTTCGGAGAGATTTGCCTCAACTGTCCCACAAATAAAAAAATAATTAAAGAAATGCTCTTATCTCTTTCTTTACAGTAGAGGAGGCTATTGAAATTCTAGAAGACAGTTTTCCCAAATAAATTTGCACCATGAAGCTCTTTAGTACTTCAGCTACGGTAAGTTTATCTCAAACCTCCTTGAAGTTTGACATTTAAAAATGATTATTTCTCTCTCTCTCTCTCTTCATTTCTACACTCTCTCTCCTTCCATATCCTTTCCCTAATTTTCTCTCACTCCCTTCTTTATCTACCCAACAGCTTTTATGCGTTGCCCTGTTTGCCTTGAGCGGCGAGGCAAGAAAACGTGAAGCTCCCATAAGCAATGGCCGTGGTTCGGCCTCCTACAATTCTCCCTCGAACTCGTATTTACCACCGGCATCGGGTCCTGCATCCAACAGTTATGCCCCAAGTGCACCATCAGGAGGCCCATACAACAGCTCTCCCTCACGTCCCTCTTCATCGTATGGTGCTCCACCCCGTAGTCCCTCTTCTAGCTATGGACCACCACCACCTCCCTCAGGACCAGCCTCTTCGTACGGTGCTCCCAGCCGTCCCAGCTCAAGCTATGGCCCACCCAAGAAGAGTTCCCATCGTCGTCCATCTTCTTCATATGGTGCTCCACCCAAACAACCTTCATCCAGTTATGGTCCACCAAAATCCAGCTATGGCCCACCAAAGTCTAGCTATGGTGCCCCAGCAAAGGCTCCTTCTTCAAGCTATGGTGCCCCAGCAAAGGCTCCTTCTTCTAGTTATGGTGCCCCCGCCCGTGCTCCCTCTTCCAGCTATGGTCCACCCAAGTCATCGCCACCCTCGACCAGTTATGGTGTTCCCACAGGTCCAGCCCCCTCGAATAGTTATGGTGCTCCAGCCAAGGCTCCTTCCAGTAGCTATGGTGCTCCTGCTGCTCCTTCCTCCAGTTATGGTGCTCCTGCTGCTCCATCCTCCAGCTATGGTGCTCCTGCCAAAACACCCTCTTCAAGTTATGGAGCCCCTGCCAAAACTCCTTCCAGCAGCTATGGAGCCCCTGCTGCTCCTTCCTCCAGCTATGGTGCCCCAGCAGAGACACCTTCTTCAAGCTATGGCGCTCCCAGTGCACCTGCTGCCCCATCGTCTAGTTATGGTGCTCCAGCCAAAACACCCTCAAGCAGTTACGGTGCACCTTCAGCTCCAGCCGCCCCATCTTCCAGTTACGGAGCTCCTGCCAAGGCACCATCTTCCAGCTACAGCGCACCCGCACAAGCTCCCTCATCCAGCTATGGCGCTCCAGCCCAAAGTTCATTCCAACCAATCTCGCCTCCCTCATCCAGCTATGGTGCCCCGGCCCAAACCCCATCCTCAAGCTATGGTGCTCCTGCTCAAACTCCTTCATCTAGCTATGGCGCCCCAGCTCAAACCCCATCTTCCAGTTATGGTGCCCCCGCTCAAACTCCCTCATCAAGTTATGGTGCCCCCGCTCAAACTCCCTCATCCAGCTATGGTGCCCCTGCCCAAACTCCCTCATCTAGCTATGGTGCCCCCGCTCAAACTCCATCTTCCAGCTATGGCGCCCCAGCACAAACCCCATCATCAAGCTACGGTGCCCCAGCACCTCAAGCTCCCTCATCCAGTTATGGTGCCCCTGCCCAAACACCCTCGTCCAGCTACGGTGCTCCAGCCCAAACACCCTCATCCAGCTATGGTGCTCCCGCTCAAACACCCTCATCCAGCTATGGTGCCCCTGCACCTCAAGCTCCATCATCAAGCTACGGTGCCCCAGCTCCTCAAGTTCCTTCATCCAGCTATGGTGCCCCAGCACCTCAAGCACCTTCATCTAGCTACGGAGCCCCCGCTGCTCAAGCTCCTTCATCAAGTTATGGAGCCCCTGCTCCTCAAGCTCCTTCATCCAGCTATGGAGCCCCCGCTGCCCAAGCACCTTCATCCTCTTACGGTGCACCCACTGGACCATCATCAAGCTATGCCTCGGCACCCAGTTCTTCATATGGAGCACCAGCTGCCCAAGGTGGCTCAAGCGGTGGTTACCCCTCAGGACCCTCTTCCAGTTATAGTGCCCCAGCTCAAACACCATCCTCCAGCTATGGTGCCCCCACCGGACCTTCAAGCAGTTACAATGCTCCTTCCGCACCCAGCAGTTCTTATGGCGCTCCCTCATCTTCTGGTGGCTCAAGTTATGATGCCCCTGCCCAAGCTCCAGCCACAGGTTACGGAGCACCCACTGGACCATCATCATCCTACAATGCCCCAAGTGCCCCCTCATCATCATACGGGGCCCCTTCATCTGGCAATGGTGGCAGTGATGGTGGCTATTCTTATTCTCCAGCGGCTAACAAAATCCCCGACACCATTCCCCAGGGCTATTCCGCCGATGGTGGCTACACATATTAGTTTGCCCAAATGAAATCCCCTGGGAGGGAAGTTCGACAAAAACAAAACCAACGTGCCTTAATTCCATATTTTGTTTAGTAGCTAATTTGCTGCCTCTCTTTCACCCTCTTCAACGCTTGCTCTACACTCATATTGTCACAAGACAAATTCATTAGCGAAATCTTCATCCAACGTGTACGGAATCGTCGTAAAATTTCATAATTTCAAATCATCAACACAAAATCGCGTCTAATGTTTATTCCATTTTAAATTCGAATTCGTAAATTATTTCTCTTGTTGAATGTACACTTTTTTGTATATTTTTGGAATTTAAAATTAAGTGTTAAGCATTTTTTATATATATTAAATAAATATTTAAAAAAATATTTTGCATGTTTGAATATTTCTATTTTTGTTTATAAAGAGTTTGGCAAGTAAAAAATTTCCAAACCATTTCGGCAACCAAAGTAACAAAAAATAAACTTTCCAGTTAAAATAGACTGTGAGATGAAAAAACTGTAACCAACTGCAGACTGCTGTCATAGCTAAGCCACTCGTCCGACAGCTGTTAAAATTATTCCAGTGACAGCTCATTATATTGTTTACAAAGGCATTTTGGTGAGAATTTTCCAGAAAAAAAAGTCATCCGTAGTGGAATTCAAGCGTGATGGTGGAATTTCTTTATATTTGGCTGGAAAACCAGCATTTAAATGTGAATAAATCTTTTGTGTCTCGTACCATCGCTTGTTACCGTGATACTGGTAGCATAGCCCGACGTCAAGGAAATGGACGGAAGAAAACAGCAACATCAGCAGAAATGGTTCGAAAATTAGAGAAACGACTTGATCGAAACCCGCGTCGCAGTGGCCGAAAAGTGGCTCGTGAGCTGAACATATGGCAATATTCCATTCGGCAAATACTTAAAAAAGGGCTCGGTGTAAAGCCATTGAAATTCCAAAAAGTTCAAGAACTTACACCGCAACAGAAAGAAATTAGACTTAAAAGAGTTAACGAGTTGCTTCTCTTGGCCGAAAGTGGTTAACTGCCGAATTTGTTTTTCTCCGATGAGAACTTGCCAAAAAGGTCCACTGAAAATGCGAACCTTCGGTTGGTCACCAGAACTCAAGCGCCGGCCATGGTGATGGTGCCGATGGTCGCTCTCCGCTCGTATTAATCAACCGTAGCATCAGAATAAATCTCGAATATTATCGCGAAAATAATCTGGAGGGTTATTAAAGCCTTGGACCGCAAACCTTGGACATACCAACAGGACTGAGCACCATCGCACTCAGCACGGTTACAAAATAAGGTTCCTCGCTTCATTTCCAGCGTACAAAATCGCCGGATACCAATCCGTCTGGAGTATTTTGGAAAGCAAGGTTGGCACTACAAAAAAAACCAAAGTATCGATCACCTCAAGCAAGCGCTTCGCCGGGAATGGGCCAAATACAACATTCGGGCAGCGTGTGTTGGTTTCATCGGCCGTTTGAAGGCCATAATTCGTGCCAAAGTTGACCAATTCGAACAAATCTAAACTTGTTCTAAAATTTGATGCTATTTCCTGGAAATACCGAATATCTCAGGGTAGCGTTATATGGGTGCTACACTAAAACGTAGACCTATATGGACAATTCTCTTCCAGGGGCTAAAGTACTCAGAGGGAACTCCTTGTGTGGATTCATATTCCAATGAAAAATGTGACTAAAATCATAAAAATACCGATTGGGAGGGGTGGGTTTTAACCATTATATGGGAACTATATAATATGGTGGACCTATTTAGAAAATTCTTTTTCAGGGGTAAAGTTCTCACAGAAAACTCCTTGTGTAGAATTTGAAGATGGCTAAAATTATCAAAATACCGAATATCTGGAGGAACAGTTATATGGGATATATACGATATCGTGGGCCTACATAGACAATTCTTTTTAGGGGCTAAAGTTACTCCTTCTGCGGGGCTAAATCGTCTTAGAATTTTACGCTGATCAAGAGTATTTGGTTTTAGGTTTGGACCATTTTGTCGATTTTTGTGAACGATGTGAAAAAAAAATGTTGTTGTCGATCCTCATGTCGTTTTCAAAAAATACGCAAATGTTATAGTCCATTTTACCCGCTAAATATTATACGATGAACATCCAAAGTGCTAGGAATCTGCCCTGGTCTAAACTCTGGGATCATGCGAAATTCCGGGTCGATATCCCCCTAAAAATCTCTATCATCTCCAAAAACAAAAAACTTCTAGTCTGACCCTAACTTTGTGCAAAAATTTGTGAGGATGGGGCCATAATTGCGAACCGTGGTGTGATTACAAATGAACATGAACAGACGGACGGACACACATAGTTAGACCGACTCGGTTCGGCGAGATAGGAAGATCTATATTTAACATCGTTGCTGTAGCACCAATGTTACATAATTGTTGGCCAAATTAAACTTATAGAAAAACAAGTAAGCAAAGGCTACAGTCGAGCGGGGCCGACCGTTGAATACCCTACAACACTATAATAAACGATACAGTTTATATAGGCAAGAAACTCGAAAGAATTCCACAAGATATTGTGACAAATAATAAAAGAACACCATCAGGTGTCGTTCTCTAATTTTCGAATAATAGCAACTTAAACTAATTTGCTAATTTCCAATTTATTTGTAGATGTTGCACTTAAATGGTCGTCATAGATCTGGAACCAATATTTCCCAAAGACCTATAATCTCTCTGAAGTGGCAATAGATTATCATTTATTATTGGTTATTGACTGAAACGCATCTATATGAGATACAGACATTTGACTATATTCTTCAACGAAATCAGCGTTATCGAAATAGTCAGAAGTGTGTCTTTCCTGCATTTGTGAATTCTCCAAAAAGTCACTGGAATGGACATTTTCGTATTTTGTCTACAAAAGTTGGCAAACTATTTCGCACATTAAATAATTTTGGATGGCCATCCAAAACTGCTTGGCTTTTGCAATGTCCGGTAACCCTTATTCAAATGTGCGTAAGGATCGGGCGATAATTACGACCTGCTGACAATTTTGCAGTTTTTTGGTCCATTTCAACCCCTAAATATATGGGGATCATCTCCAAAAAGAGTAGGCTTCTATTCTGACCCTCATCTTATCTCCATGCAAAAGTTCGTAAGGATCAGGCCATAAATGCGATCTGTATATGATATCCTGATATTCTAACTACTTAGTTTTGTTAGCTGTAGAAATATTACCAAATTTTTAATTCAAATTTAAAATATGCCAAAAATATGACAAAATTGAAAAAATATGAGAAAATTTACAAAATCAATATTTTCATCTTTGGAAAGATATTTTTATGCGACTTTTTAGGCGTTTTTTCTTTTCTGCCAAGAGGCCATTCAGAATTAATGAGAACTGGCGAAATCAGTTCAGCCGTTCTCGATATAAAATAGATCTTTCAAGCACATCTTCTTTGATACACATATATATCGCACATATTTTGCTATATATCCGATTTGTTGGATGTTAACATCAATGTAAAGATCAGAAGTAACCTTGTCATGGCTTTGTAATTTCGCCGGGATTTAAAATATTCGCGGTTTAATGAAAAATTTTGAATTTTTTCAACAAAAAAGATATGGTCTATTTTAGCCGCTAAATATTATCCGATGACCACCCAAATTGGTAGGCTTCTTCCCCGCCCTAAACTCTAGCTACATGCGAAATTCCGTGTCGATTGGTCTATAATTGCGACCTGTATAGCTACTGCAAAATCCGACATTTTTTCAGTATTTGGTCCATTTCAACCCCTAAACATTTGGCGATCATCTCCAAAAGAAATAGGGTTCTATTCTGACATTAACCCCACCTACATTTTAAATTTCGTGAAGATCGGGCCATAATTGCGACCTGTAGAGTGATTACAAATTAACATGGACAGACGGACAGACGGACGGACGGACATACATAGCTAGATCGACTCAGCTCGGCGAGCTAGGAAGATCCATATATACTTTCCTATGTGGGAAATCAATATTTCGTGGTGTTACATAATTTTTGGCCCAATCAAACTTATAATACCCCCAACACATAGTGTTGTAGGGTATAAAAACAAAAATTACGGAATCTAATAAGTTTATAACAATTGACAGAACGGCTTTCTTGTTAAAATTGTATGCCCACCAAATCGGTTGGAAATTTTGAGAAACAAATAAATAAAGAAAAAATTGTATGTTTGACAATGGTGGCTGCTTAGCCTTGAAAACTGTGGCTAAGTTAACCTCTTTTCCCATTCAAACTTCCCTTTTCTGTTTTTTATTCAAAACCAACTAAAAAAGCAAAGGGCAGAGCGAATTTTTAATATCATTAGCCATGAAATATCGGAACTCAAAATTTAAATTATTTTTATTTTTAACCCCAATTTCCGCGAAATCAGTTTAAGAATGCAGTTAAAGTCTTGAAATATTAACCCACAGAGACCAATTTTCTGCGTATTTGCCAGTTTCAAATACCAAAATTAAAACTATTCCGTGAACAATGTGGCTAAGGTCAGCAAAATAGAGAATACCCAAAGATACCGTGATTATTTTTTTACCCTTAGTTTTATTGCTCCCTAATATGAACTATTTAACTGCTTTGTCAAATTCGTATTATCGAAGGTTATAAATAGTTCAAACACCAAAATACTTAATTGAGCCAACTCGTTCAGAAAATGTGAAACAAATCTTCAAAAAAGCTGAACATCGCTCAAAAAGGTGTTTTTTGGGGTTTTCAATATTTTTCTACCAAATGGGCAACATTTCCAATCGAATTCGTGGTAATGTAGTCTGTAGGTTTTTCTGTGAATATTATATGACCTTGTAAAAATTTATCAAAATACACCTGTACAATTGCACTAAATGTTCATATATGTTGATGAGACCACGATTTCCCTACAAAGTTTCTCGTGAAATGTGGCGGTTTGTTTATTTATAATCAGAATTTAAGGATATTTGATTAAGAAAGGCTCCCGGAAAAAACAAACATTCGAAAACCGTCCAATATTTGTCTTTATGAGCATGCAACACCGATATTTTAAAAATTTGGCTACCCTAGATTTAGTACATTTACTGTGAAATTGATGAGCCTTCAAATAAACAAAAAATAAGTCATAAATATTAACTTACCTTTGTCTCCATCCCTTCTCCTATTAAGTACATTGCCAAAGACCTAATTAGTACAGTAAGCATAATTCGAAACTTGGCAGCATTTTAAACACTCTCAATTAAAAAACATTTCCTTTGACACTTATCTCATAAACTGGAATTTTTTTAAGGAAATTACACTAATAGATATTTTCTGTAAACAAAAATGATAAATAAGAATGAGCATCACTC